CTATTATGTTTATGCCATTTCTACTATTATCCTTTCCTATATACCAAAGTTTATATCCATCAATTTCCTTAGTGTTTTCCCCTTTCTACTTAGTTTCCTATAAGCAAGTTATGTTAACTCCTCTTCATCTCATTGTATCCATTAACTCCATAATTTTACCGATTAGACTTCCTACATTCCATGTTGCTTGGTGAATCCTATTCGAAGTAGCCCCTTTATTCTGGGGCTAGCTTCTTGTAATCCTAAATTCTAGTTTATGAAAAGGATAAAAATAAATTGGATTACAGGGGAGGATGTCAGACTTTCATGCAAAATCGCTATAGCCCTTCTCATACAAGCTCATCTCCTTCCGACTTGAGCCATTAAGTAGTTGTGTGTATAGGGTGACACAATTGCCTATGCCATCTTTTATGTTATAGATAATCCCCCAAAATGGCCTATGCTTAGTTTTTTTATACTTGAAACTCACAATATTCTCCTTGGTCGTATTCATTGCCTCATAATAACCCATGAGAGGTCTATCCTCTATTGCTCTAATTACATTGGCAATTATCATTCATTATTGGTCAGTCAAAATCAAGTGTATCATGGCCTTGCGTTTACTCTTGGAAAAAGTTTATATAGAGTCAAGGCTCTAAACAATCAAATTAGAGCCCGCCTCAAAAATTTAACTAGAAGAGGTTGCTTGGATTCCCAAATATCCACAAATTGATTATCTCGACATCAAGATGCATGGACATGAGAGAAAAATGGATTTCAAGTTTTAGAAGTAGTGCATCTTGTAACGAATTTTTGGACTGTCAATTTTCAAGATTTTGAAGTTTGCATAGATCTGCTTGATGTAGACTATTTTCGAAGCTTTAAATTTTGGGAAAATATCTCCATAGACCCCATTTTCAACTTTCATTTTTCCATTGACCTAAGGTTGCAAAACCTATCTTACTACATAGAAATTCACTTTATTATATCTCCTAACCCCCTAGACATATTTTATTCATTTTTTACTAATTTTTTTTGCCCAAAAAAATTTAAAAAAGACATTGTTTCTAAACCCCTCTCGCTTTCTAAACCCCTTTCTCTCTTGACATGATTCCCTTTCTCTGTCCTTGAGTGCAGGCATAGTTATTAAATCGATCAATAGAAAATAAATCCCAAAATAAAACCAATAAACCAATATGGACACGAAAGTTCCCAGCGACTCATCAGAGAACATTCCACTCATATCCCTGAAATTACAGAGAAAACCCACCTGCGATTTTCTCTCTTGTTATATTGAGCTAGGTTCTTTTGATCCTATTATGAGGCAAAACCAGTGAAAACAATTAATTGGGTTAATTGGCTTCTCTCTCTGGTAGTTGAAGAAGCCAGTAAATCAGATTACACGGAATGGGAAATCTCTCTCTCTCTCTCTCTCTCTCTCTCGAATAGGGTTAATGGTTTCTCAATCCCAATAGAGGTGAGTGGATTTCTCAAAGTTTTGGCTTTTGGATTTCTCTCTCTAGAATTTAAAGGAGAAGCCATAAGATGACGTGTAACTGGATGAGAAACTGGTTTAAGACGAAGCCATTGATTGACTTCATCAATAGAAAAGGGCAAATTTTTCACCAAGGCCGCGACACCTTCACTGTGTGGAAACAGAGTTCTTAGGTTTCTCTCTCTAGAATTTAACGGAGAAACCATGACAACACATGAAAATCGATGAGAAAGTGCTTTTCTAGGAGGCCATCATTTCTCTCCATCAATAAAAAAGGGTAACTTACTTCACCATTGACTATGCCATCCCTTCATCAGAGGCATCTCCATCTAGGAGGCGATCGTTTTTCTAAAGCAGTTCCAGCCATCGCCGGCCCATTTTCCAGCAGCCTCAGGAACCCCACCCCTCTTTCTTCGACTTAGAATGGGAGGAAGGCTTTGGTCGGAATGCTCATTTTTCCAGCAATTCCCAGCGAAATTCTAGCCATTTAGGGGAAAAAACCGGGGAAGTGGGCGGAAATTCCGGTGAGATTTATGATGTGACGAGGAGGTTGGTTTTTTTGTTTCCTCTCATTGATGTAAAGCCAAAATATGGCTTTGTGAGCAATGAAGAGCTTGAGGGTTGGAACGTTATGCAAGCTATAGAGAAGTTGCAGAGAGAGGCGGAGAGAGAGATGAGGGATCGTGATAAAGGTGGAGATGCCTCTGGTACTGCAATGGTGGATAAGATGGCGACGATGACGTAGAGCTTCATCATGAAGCTTGACGGCACGAGGTGGCCCATTTTCTCTACAATCTCCCGGCTTCCACCATTGTTGAGCTGGAAAGAAATGGGTTGCACAAAGAGAGAGGAAGAACAGTCTAGAGAGAGAAACACGTGAGGAGAGAGGAGAGAGGGGGTTAGAAGAAGATGTCTTTTTTAATTTGTTTGGGTTAAAAGTTGGAATAAAAATAGATAAAGTTATTTGGGGGGTGAAAAAGATAGGTTTTGAAACTTTGGGTTTAGGAAAAAATGAAAGTTGAAAATGGGGTCTATGGAGATATTTTCTCTTAAATTTTTTAATTAAAGATGAAAGTATATTTTAAGGTTGTCACAAAGATTTTCCTGACACTATTTGAAGGTATGCTTTACTTTGATTGTTTAGAGCTTTGGCTCTATAAAAACTACACCCTTTACTCTTACTGGTCCATACAAAATCTGACCGCACATTTGCGGTGACCACGACTCTCAAGCCATCCTTTTGTTGCAAAGGACTTTGCGATGTGAGGAAGTTTGTATTGTAATTGCTGGCATCACTGTCTCGCTTCCATTCTTGCGCTTCCTCATTAGATTCAGGACAAATGAGTTGTAGACTAATTTGCAATATTTTCGCCTAATTGACCCTTAGTGAAGTATCCATCATCTTCCTAATATCTTCAAGCATTAAATCTATACAATGAGCTGCACATGAATGGGGTAACAATCTATCCAAACATTGGTGGGGTAACAATCTTGCTGCATCTGTCCCCAAGGGAGTAATCGGCTGCATTGCTGTTGATAAACTGAACACAATCTATCATAAACCTCTTTAAACAACTGAATTAGAGAAAAAAAAAGGGGTTATTGCCTCCCCTGTCTTTAAAATAACAAAGGCATCATAGACTTCAAGAAAATTGTACCCTTTTGACAATCGACCAAAAAGTTCATCAACTGTGCACCTCTCTTACCAATCTACTCCTCAGCCATCATGGAACATCCATGACTAGTCCATATCTCCCTGTATGTCTCAGTGTAGCCCTTGGTCTCTTTTACATTCTTCATCATTAGCCATCTACTACCATCTTGGAAGCTAGAGCTGTTGTATCCTAAGCCTATGGATGTCACTGCATCCAACATAGGATGGAAGTGGGTAATTGAAGGCCAGTGTTTTAAACTGTGGCCGCATCAGGCATTATGCGCTGGGCAGCGCATCACAAATGCTCGCATATGCGCTCTGGAGAGATCGCCCACATATGTGCCACATCTCTCTGCATATGCGCTTGCATCCCACATAAGGCGCATAATCCTGCCCATGTGGTCTGCCAATTTTACTAAAATGAACCCCTCGGCAGAGGTATTTAGGACTTTTTGACCCCAAAACTGGGGGGGAAGGGTTTGGGGGTTGATTTGAGGAAGTTTATGCGAACTTCTGGAAACAAGACTTGAGAAATGATGATGATTGTATTGACTTTTCTTGAGCTTGACTTTTGAACTCTTTAATCTTCATATATTTTTAGTTTGTAGTATTTTGTAACTTTAAAGTTTGTGGTTGCAAATTTGTGCGTATGGTTGTTAATTGTTTAATATTTTATGAAGCTAGTTTCAAGTTTGTAGTTTCTCTCAGGGGATAGTGGATACAGAATCTCGGACAGCTAATATTTTGGAGTTAATGAATAAAATAAATACCTACTATCATATATGTCACCTCCATATCTTTTCTAGGTATAACCTATTTTCTAATTTTTTAGAACTTTTTAATATTTATCGACCGCATCGTGACGATGCACCCGCATCTAGATTGCATCAAGCCGTGTTGCGCTCCCCCCCCAACGCATACGGCCGCATCACGCATTTTAAAACACTTTTGAAGGCACTAAATGGTATGGCTGAGTGATACATCCACTACCTGCAAACATGTGTGCGCTTTCCACTGCCTTCTCCCAAGTCTGCATACTTTTAGTTGTCAGCTGGGTACCTAGTGTGTGTCTTGGTGGGACATAATTGCTTACCTCTCCCTTCCTCTTAGACCTACTGGTACTACTTGTAGGATATTCTTTCCTCATCCTCGTAGTTTGTTACACCAAAACAACCACCGAGCTGCCAATTACGCAACCAAACCACCCATCTCCAATTCCAACTTCTTAGACACTCACTACCACCAACTAAACCCTGAAAGGCCAATCCAACAATCCTCCAACAAAGAAATTACCACTCACAATATGACAACCCTACATTAAAAAATAGACACAAATTCTTTGCAAAGTTTTAATTTTGTATTAAAATTAAAAAGCCCTATCTTTTATAGAAACCCATACAATAACCCCTAAAAGATTGACTATTCATTCATAAAAAAATAGTAACTACACAAAAATGGATCCGTGGAACAATTTCCATAGTTCAACAAGTTTCATAGATAACTGAGCATTTGAATAGTTGAACAAAAAAAATAAATTATGTCACTATCAATCTAATGTAGAACTAGAATACTCAAAAGCCGAGCTTCATACATTGACCATAGGAGATGAAACTCCTTTTGTTTGTTTCCTGTTGCTTTCAATATCCTAGAGCAGTGCACTGGCATTAAGAAACTTGTATGTATAGTGGAAAGTTTGAAGATTTTGATTTAATTGATTTAGCAATTCATCTGATCATAATCATTGCAGGATCACTAGGTTTAGAAATGCCCTATTTTTTGTTTTGTAGTGAGTGAAGTTTGTATGTTTCCTATAGAACCAATTTTGACTTACGGAAGTTACTCGTTTTCTTATCATTTGTTGTTCATGTACAGGAAATCATTATTCGGTGGTGCACGCCCACGAGAACTGGTAAGCCAGGATATCTAGCTTGTCTTCCTTATGGATGAAAGATCGTCAGTTCTGATTCAATTTTGAATTGGTCTTCCATGTTGAGCCTTTCATTGATATTATGATGCTCAAATTACAGGTCTTAAAGGAGCGTGGTGTTGATGATGTTGTGCTCCATTACCATGATTCAGTCGAACCATCCAGCAGGTAATTTCCTTGCATCTCTTGCCTGTTGAATGGTTCCTATTTCCAAACTTAAAAATCAATTGCCGAATATATGGACATCGGAACTTATCTAATTGTTTGCTGGTTAAACCTATTACTTGCAAAAAAAACTAAAATAGGATACCTTGACATAGTCTTGTTCAATGGGTTGTTACAGTAGAATAGAAAACCTTGGTTCTCCATAGAAGCTCCTACTCCCTCAAGATATACATATAATTACATGGCATGCAAGTATTGAGAGTGTGTTCCTATTTTGTGTACCCTTTGAAATATTTCTTGCTCACTATGCTTTAATCATTTTTCAATATTATCAATAAATTTGGGAATTTGGTTCTGAACTTTTGATTAAATGATGTTGTGGGACCTTTTGCTGAGGTAATTAATGCATAAAAATTATTTGGGCGTTTCTCTAAAGTTAAATCGCTTTTATTGTGGATTGGATAGCTCCAGTTCTATCTGTGACAATTCGTTTCACACAAACATGCTTGGCAAAGAAACTTTATTTCACTGAGAATATCTGTGCTTGGCCGATTGTTGGAATCTCCTCTGTACCCAGGATGCTAACCCACCTTTTTCAATCATCAGAAAAGGGGGGAGAAAAGCAAAAGAAACAACTAATGTAACCATGTTAATCATAAACGAAAAAGACAAAAATTCCTAATGCGACACATCTTCTAATGATGTATTTCTCATCTCATTTGCGTATGCCAATTTCTTGGAACCGTTGAGGAATGTTTTTGCTGCATCTCGACGAGGAATGTTTTTGCTTGTCATAATCCTTGCTGTGGGTCTTTAACACTGTTGTACCTAACTTCTTAAAGGACTACGAACAAAGCAGCAGCAGACCCTCCTCTAAAACTAGACATAAAGGCTGCTGCTGTTGATCTGCCCACAACCCAAGCCTACACTGTCCGCCACCCTGAACAATTTGCCGAAAAGCGGCATGGAAACCGCCCCGACTTCCCATCCAATCGGCATGACCAAGAAGCTGACAAAACTGACAGTCATAGGAGCAACAACTCTCATAGAACTGACAACTGGCGTAATGAGAGGCAGCACCAGCAACAACAATATGAGCGCAGGCAGCAGCAGCAGCAGACTGAGACGCGGCGCAAGCCTGTGGCGGTTGAGCCGAGCACGGTTGAGCGGTCGGGGAGGTTTGGGCATGGGAAGGTGGCATCAGCCCTTGAGCTTGCTCAGGCTTTCTCGAGCTCTACAAACCTCTCAGATGGCCCCACTGCAGCCCACCAGAGGGGCCGGTCCATGAGTGTTGGGCCTGGCCGCGGCCCGGTGGTCCCCTTCTCGAGGCTCACAGACACGCACACATTGTACTCTGGTGGGCCCCAGCACCAAATTAATGGCTACTGAGGAGGGTGTCAAGCTGTTTCGTGGCTGTTGGAGCTGAAGAATATGTCCTCTGCTCAGAATCGTTGTTGATCAGTTTAGTTTAATGTTTTTCATCGTTTCATTGTTGGCCATTGGCTGCTTGTGCCATGAGGAGACGAAATCAAGGGGTACAATCCTAGCGCATGAAAAATTTGTACACCACATGAGGAGAGAGTTCGATAACAAATGATAATGTAACCTACTTGAGTGAAGATAGATGCCGATTCTTGATTTTGAATATGCATTTGGTGAGGTTTTTCCTTGTGGGGTGATTACTGTTGTTTATGAATACACGATCTTCAGAATGGCCTGGCCGCGCCTGGCCTTGTTGGGGCGATATGCACCTGTTTCTAATGAAAGCATATCGTGCTTTAGACCTGATTTAAAATATCTCTGTATTTCCATTTCACGCGTGGTATGCCTATTATTGGTTTTGATTTATTGAGCAATTTCCATTTCTGATTGTCTTTTTGAGTGGAGTTTGCTTAGGAATGTGCCAGCATTGAGGTTGCGATTCTTTCCGGAGAAGAGGGCTGCAAATTTGGAATCGCCAAAACCAATGTTGATTGAACAACTGGGGCCGAGTACTCGGCCCAGGCGCCCTAGTGGCTAAGTGTTGATCAAGCTAAAAAATGTTAAATTTCTTTTGAAGACTACAAAAAATCCAAAACAAAAAGGATCAAAGTAAAATTGAACACATCTAAATGAGGTTAAAAAATATAGTCACAAAATAGATTTTGAAAAATCAATTTTTGATGGGGGGGTATTTCAAAAAATAATCTAAAAAAGGGAAAAATGTAAAAGTAAGTATTTATGGTTAAAATATTTTCCAATCTTTTGTCAAATTGATAGAACACAAAAAAGACATTATAAATAGATTTCTTATTTTTTTGAATTTTTATGATTGGTTTTTTAAAGTCCCTGAGTTGGACAACCCAACTCGAGCTCGAGTCCGAGCGGACTCACTGAAACAATAAAACATACATTGCATAAAAAATTAATATTTTATAGTGAATTACAAACTTCTGAGAGAAGGTTCTCTAAAATCAACAAAATCCAATAACAATATAAGTTTTTCAAGAGATATCTTCTTTCTTCGCATCGCCTGTACAAAGAGGGATGGAGAGAGAGGCCATCGTCTCAGAACATGAGATAACGTTCTCTGAATCAACAAAATCCAATAACAATATAACTTTTTTGAGAATTTCTTCTTTCTTCGCATCTCCTGTACAGGGGTGGAGAGAGATGCCATCGTCTCAGAACATGAAAGCGGCACAGGGGTGGAGGGAGAGAGAGGTCATGTCTCAGAACATGAAAGCCATTGGAGTGAAGGCCGGAAGGCCGATTGGAATTTGAGAATACCTGAAACAAAAAGAAAATGATGAGAGAGAAAGAGTCAGACTTTTCAGTCAAGCAATTAGATCTCTAACGCTAAATATTTTACGTGAAGCTCTGCAACTATTACTAGAGTTCTCTTTGCAATTCTTGCTGAAACCCTAATCTAATACAATTTCCGGTTGAGATGGTAGAAAGTGTTATTACCAAAATGGGTTCGAATCTATACATTTGGGGTATTCTCCCTCAATACAGTATAATACAGTAAAAGGTGGAAATGCCTAAAATCACCATTGTGGAATTGCTTCTCCGTTATGCTCCAGTGAACGGGATACCATTATCTCAGCTTTCTTCCGCAGAAACTATCATTCCATCTCATCGCCCGTCTATAACCGTCTCTGATGAATGCTCAAACTGAACATATCAACTATCAAACTTGAAATGTCTCTCCCCCTTTACTCTAATCTAATGTAACTGAAAATTTTGCTCCAATTGAACATCTATCCCTCTCCTCATAACCGAAAAATTACTTACAATCGACAAGAGAAGCAAAGCTCTCTCCCTCTCCCTCTCTCTTTAACTAACTGAAAAAGTAAAAAAATTGCTCGAATTGAGCAGATAAATGGATATAGTAGTAAAAGGAGAACAAGTAACAACAGGTCATGATCGTGGGCCTGTGCTTTACCTTACACCTTCTTTCGTGGCGTGAACCCTAATCGTATTCCTTCCTTTTACCGTTTTCTTCATCAGAATTTCTCCTTTAGCAGTCGAAATCGACGGCTTCTCTCCTTTCCTGGACAAGACCAGCGCCCCTTCTTCTGCTATAGCATCAAGCGAAGGCTTCCACTGCTTCAACACCGAACAAGAACACCTCGTATATTTCCGGCTCCGTTTCCTTCCATCCAAACGGAACGCGTCGATTTCTGGTGCAATCTCTCTCTTTTCGGGCAACATTTCACCCCTTTCCGAAACTCTCGAAGAGACTGATTGGAGCAGTGAGATCTCAACTACGCCTGGAATCGGCGCTGGAGAATGACTCTCCTCGCCGGTGTTTTCCTCAGATTGTACGGGTTTCCGGCAACAAGGAACGAGTTCGAACAGTCCCATATCTAGCAGGAAAAGGCTGTCGACGAAAATTTTCCGATGGATTGGTTAAGCTTTGTATTCTGTTTTTCATATTTTTATAAGCTCTGAATACGAGGCGTCTAAGCGGAGTGTTGTTAGTGGTCTCTAATAATAATCGTTGGCGGGTCCCGTACGGACTTCAATTCCGAATAAAGTAGATTTGAAAAGTTCGGTGAGGGGTAGTTTTGAAAAATTTTATTTTGAATTAATTTTAGCAAATCAAATTTTAGAGATAACCTTTCAATCAATAGATTAATTTTTTTGAAAAAATTACATAAATATCTATTTTAGTTTATGTTATTACTAAAATACCGAATACTTTCTAGTATTACATATTTATTTTTTGAATTTCATAACAATTTTTTTTTAAAAAAATAAAACTATATATTTTCAATTTTTCAAAAACTAAAATCAAATCAATTTCACATAAACCTAAAATTTTAAATTTTTGATTCTTCAACAACCCAAATTTTTTTCTCTTGTTGGTATATTCTCTCTCTACCTCTCTTTCTCTAGACATTACATGGGTAAAAAGGGCTTTTTTTGGAACAGTCTCTCTCCCCTTCATCGAGCTTTTTTTTTTTTGGGTAAAACTTGACCGAGCTTTTTTTTTGGGTAAATTTCACCCAGCGTCTTGAGAGAATCATGGGTTGGGTCATCAGCACACCGAAGCTTTCCATTTTCTGCAACTTTTTATAGGTTTTTTAGGTCTTCAAAGTCTTCACACTCAAAAGAGCTAGGACTTGCAATTTAAGGAAAAAAAAAATAGTTAGGTTTCTTGTTTCTTTTTTCTCTTTTTGATTGATCTCTCATCTTTTGGGGGGTTTTTGGATGGTAGATTAATTGAAAGGAAACACCTCTCTTTCTCTCTCTCTCCTCTTTCTCGTGACAATTTCAGGCGTTTCAGGGCAAATTCTTTCTCAGTTAGGCAGATTCCTTCGTCCGGATTTTAGTTCCTCATACATTTACCTTGCAACCACTATTTCTTCAGATCGCCGGTTTAGCACTTCAGACTACTTTTCCATCCGAATCTTGACTTCTTTGAACTTGTTGAGCTGCTCTTAAAGAGCTTTTCTTAGATTCTCAGAAATATCTGATTTGACACGATCCTCAACTTCGAGTTTCATCTAACTCTTTCAATAGCTCTTCCATTTGTCAAGGAGTTTACAAAAGGTCAAATTACATGAATGGCGCTCTCACAAGTGGCCCATATTGATTTATAGGTTGACCGGCTATTTTTGCAAATGTGGAGATAGAAAAGATAGGGAAGAGTTTAAAAGGGAAAAGACGGGGAGAAATATTTTTTCGATTATTCAACAATCAAAAATTTAAAATTTTTGGTTTTTTAAAAAACAAAATTGGCCTGATTCGGTTTTTGAAAAATCGAAACTAGGTGGCTTTGTCTTTTTTTAAAAAAATTGTTATGAAATTCAAAAAGCCGACATATCAGTAATAATGAAAAGTATTCGGTATTTTGATAATAACGAAAATTAAAACGGATATTTATATAATTTTACCATTTTTTTAAATTATAACTCCTATGCATTTGAAAAAATAATATCTCGAGATTGAATAGAGACTGTCTAATTTTTAGATAATGAAATCTAAGTGTTAAAAAACTCAAAAGTGGTTTCCAAAATTTCAAATTTAAAAAAATGCTTCCAAAGAAGCCTTTTGACGAGGGAGTAGAAATAAGTCTTTTGACCGAAGGAACATAGTATACATACCCTAGAATATTTCTCTCGAGGGAGTACATCTATAGCAAGATCTTGTGGGAGCAAGCTATAAATGCTAAAACCTCAAAGAAGAGAAATTAAATAGAGAACTTTCCATGTGCGACTTTTTAAGATTGAATAAGAACCCTGCAGTTTGGAGAGCAAGTTCTAGGTGTGTTCAAGAACTTCAATCCGAATTCTTCTTTTGAAAACTAAGATGAATCCCAAAATTTTGAATAAAAAAAGTTCTGCCAAGGTACTATTTTGGCTGAAGGAGTTGTTATACAGTTCGACGGGAGCATATTATATCCGCCCAATAAAACTAATGGCGTGCTTGTTTTGTGGAAGTTGTGTCTACTGTCGCAATCCTTTGTTTGTTATGCAGGAAGTGTATGGGGATTTTGGACGCTGTTGTTCCAAGCAGCATTAAAACAAGAAATTTTTTTTTTTGGACCACCAATTTCATGGTAACCCATGAAATTGAGGGCTTCGAAATTTTCTCAAAGAGGGCCCTTTAGAAACCCCCTCTTTTATGAAACAAACACGCTTTTGATCGGTTACCATTAAAAGGTGCTATAGTTCATGAAATTTGTTTTGAGCAGTCTAATACAGTTCATGAAATTTGTTTAGTATATAAAATGGAAATCAACGGCAATTTTCTCATTATATTTCCTTTACCCCCAAAAGATTTTATGCTCCAATGGGAGCATACTGTCCATTTACTCCCTCAGGTAAAATCCATTCTAGGAGTATTTGCAATGCTTTAAATTTAGGGATGTTACCTCTTCAACTCATGGACTAACTTCAAAAAAAAAACTTTTCAAATAAAAAACTCTATCCTCTTTAAAAATTAAATTAATGATTCTTACATCTTACAATCCAAATTTTCAAGGGTGAGACCCAAGTATTAGAAAACTTAAAATTTAAAATTTCTGTTTTGAAAGAAAAAATTAAATTAATGATTTTTAGGTGGTTTCCAAAATTTTAAATTGAAAAGATCCTCTCACGTAGTTGATCTGCTTGAGACAGCAGGTGTATAGTATTGCTCCCCATGGGAGCATAATACATGGGCTCGTTCGTTTATATATCTTTCCTTTTTGTTTTTTTTTTTGTTTTTAAGGAATGTTCTTTAGAAAAATTTTAACTGTCCTTAGCAAATAAATGAACAGAGTCATGAGTTTTGGTGATTTCAATCGTACGTTTGTAAAATAGAAACTTCAAAATATTGAATTTTGTTTTATAGAAACTTAAAAATATTGAAAATTCTTTATAGAAACTTCAAAGTATTGAAAATGCTTTCTCATGAAACGCAAGAAAGGTTTGGTTAGCAAGTCAACGGCTGTAGCTTTCATTTGTTGGATGGTTGACCGAGCACTAATCCATGATTTCGACATTCTTTACTCCCCCAAGTGCAATCTTATTTTTGGGGCTCTTTTGCTTTAGAGGCCACGCTATCATTAATTTTAATCGAATAATTTTATCTTATCTTGGCGTCCACTACCATAATAATAATCATGGTAATAATTAATGAAAAAGTAGAAATACGGCATGAATTTGGTGACAACATGAATAACATAAATGTGAATAACATAAATAAACGGTTATCTACAAAGACGCCATTTATCTTTGGGTGTAGTTTCTATAAGGTTGCAACCTTAAATAATCCAATTAGGCTGTACCTCCAAATTTTATTATAAACTATAATTTTGGTGTAAAAAATTCTTACATTATTTGAAAATTTATTTTCAAATCTAATGATAAAATTTAAAACTTCAAAAATGATAAAAATCAAGTAGATCTATAAGGATATGAAAATCTTTAAAATGGACGGTCTAGATAATATATTGCAAGACGCACTATTTCTGGGACTTAGAATCTTTTTTTTTTTTTCATATTCATACATCTCAATGTCAAATGATTAATTAGAGGGTTTTTCAACATTAAAACAACATTCTCCAATGGATTTTTGAGGTGCATTTGTAATTCTACATTTTAAAGTTGCAAACTTATATAAACCTTTCTCTTGATCTTTTGTACATGGACTTCACAGTCATTCTGGTCCCCTAAATTTCAAAATGGGCGGTTATATGAGTGTCATTGAATATACACAAAATTCCAAAAAACAAATTCTTGAACTTCGTGATTCACCCAAAGCCATTCAGTTTAACATATTATTAGGTGTGTCTAGATGAGAAGATTAGACGTCTAAAATTTCATGTGATTTAATTTGTAGAAAAAAATATTAAAATTATATTATAAAATGAGATTGTGGCCGCCAGAGCTGTACAGATTCAATATGGGCTGTTGTGCTTACACTGTTTCATAAGCTGGTGGACTGAATTTAGATTTTTTCATATATATATAGGGATAATCTAAACTTCACAACCCTTCAAATTACAAAGGTTAAAGATAGAGAGAGTTGTAAAGGTTGGATTTATTAATTTTGTAGTCGATATTTTTTAAAAAAGTTACTTTTAATGATATCTTCATCATTAGGTAAGGGCAATTTTGTAAATATTATTATAAGACAAGAGGTATTTTTGTCATCTTCATAAAAGATAAAGTTGAAATTTTTACTAAAAGACAATAGCACTCTACAAATAAAATTCCACGACACTAGCTTCCAAATTGCTATTGTACTTTTGTAAAAATTCTAAATTTTTTCTTGCTTAATAGTTATATTATCTATTAAAATGATTTTTTTTTAAAAAAGTAATCGTCCTTTTTATATATATACGCATCACAACCCCTTCTAACTTTAACCTTTGTATTTTGAGAGGTTGTTAATTCAAGACAAAATTATATATATATATATATATATATATATATATATATATATATAAGTACTAACTTAAATAGTAGAACTAAGATACACATAACAAATACTACTACTAAAGGT